ACGCCGTGGCGGTGTGGGCCGCTGGACAGGCCCGCGTTTCGGTGTGACTTCCACATTTTCAAATCATTCTGATGCTAGGAGGTGGTAGTGGCTCAAGAAATACGACCAAGAATTCCTTCAAGTCCAATCCTAGTGCCAAATTCCTGACTCGCACCCAGACACAAAGCACATCAGATATAAAGAAAAAGATCCGGAATACGCCTCACCTCAGTCACATTACTTCAGAGAAGAGAGGAGCCCACACTCACCTATGCCCATGTGCCTGCCCTTCCGGCGGGCCAAGGTGTTTTTCCGGCACCGAGCCCGGGAATGGACCGTCACAGGTTTGCGGATGATCAGCCCATCTTTGATCAGCTTCCGGATCTGCTGACCTGGAAAACATAATGTACTTGGTCAGCTGGCTGCAGTCCTAATAGGACCGCCCAGGCACTGCTCATATCCCTGGGCCAACAGATCAACTACATAAAGCGGGGGGTGGGGGAGGCCAGGTATTGGGCACAGCAGCCAAGATGCCACTTGGGATGTGCACAGTCCACACCAGTGCCTGGCTCCAGTCTCAGCCGCATTTCCCATCTACCTTGCAGTTAATGGGCGCCTTGGGAGGCGGGAGGTGGCTGCTCAAGTATGTGTTTCCCACCCATGTGAGGAACCCGGATTGACTTCCTGAATTTGGTCTGGTTCAGTCGCAGCTGTTGTGGGATTTGGGGAGTGAACCAGTAAATGGAAGATCTCTCAGCCTTTCAAATAAATTTAAGTCAAAATATTTAAAAATGTAGATAATGCAACTGCTACTTACTTCATGCCTTAAAAAAATTTTTCTACCTCTTGAATGTTTAAAAGAACATCTCCAATATAATGTGGAAATAATTCAGGTACATAAGGTGTTACTTGCTGAACTGGTGTCTATCTATTAACTGCCTGGAACAATCTTTGGTCAACAGGCCTCAGAGGGGGCCAGTGTTGTGGCATGACAGGTTAAGCCTCTGCCTGCAATGCTAGCATCCCATGAGAGCTGGTTCAAGTCCTGGCTGCTCCACTACCCATCCTGCTCCCCGATGACGTACCTGGGAATGCAAAAGAAGTCCAAGCTCGAGCCCCTGTCCCTCAGGGTGGAGACCTGGAAGGAGTTCTGGGTTCCTGGCCTTAGCCTGGCCCAGCCCTCCCGCCCTGGCTGTTACAGCCATTTGGGGAGCTAACCAGTGGATGAAGATCTCTGTCTTTCCCCACCTCTAACTCTACCTTTCAAACAGATATTCTCTCCCCCCACTTTACCCCAAATGACTTCAGTGGCCAGGCCAGGAGCTTCATCCAGGCCTCCCAAGTGGGTGGCAGGGGCCCAAATCCTTGGGCCATCTTCCACTGCTTTTCCCAGGCCAGTAACAGACAGGTGGATTGGAAGTGGAGCAGCCAGGAAATGAAATGGGATGCCGGCATCACAGGCAGCAACTTTAACTGCTTACCATCATGGTAATTACTTACCATAATGCTGGCCTCTCAAATAATCTTTAAAAAAAAAAAAAAAGAGCCTGAGTCCTGTCCTTTGGACAAATAGCAGGAAAAGCTAAACTGGCATCTCATTTCCATTTCTTCGGCTCTTCTACTTTTGAGGTCCCTTGCATCATACCCGTTCCTAGGTTTGCAAAGAACTAACACATTGTTATGTTCACCTGAGACAAAGGGAGGGAAAGGACAGCGGTCCCAAGTACTCACGGGAGTTGGCATTGGCGATTTCGTTGGTCTCATTGGGGTCCAACCAGACCTTCTTCTTGCCACAGCGGAGGACGCTGGAGGCGAGCCTCTTCTGAAGCCTGAGCATGCTGGGACACACACAAAACACATCAGGCCCTGGGAGCCACCGCTGGGCGGGGAGGAGCCTCCCCAGGCCGACCTGCCGGCTCTAGCCCTTTACCCTGAACCCTAATATAGCTGGGTGAGACCCCTGATGGGCAAACCTGCTCACCCAGCCCCCGCTCTCCGCCACCTGCCCCATCTTCCTACACCAAGATGATTGTTACAGCTCTAGGCCACCACCCTGAAGTCCAAGTCCAAGCTAAGCCTTACCCTCTCTGTGCCTCAATGTGCCCTTTTGGAAAATGAGATTAAGACAATACTATTAAAAAAAAAAAAAAAAAACTGCTAAGTACCCCGAGCCCACCGGTCCGGGGGATGCAGACAACGCTCCTTTGCTTTCTTCATTTTAGCATGTTGCTAACTCACGCCCACCCATCGTCAGAGGTTTGTGTGAGTGGTTTTTTTTTTTTTTTTTTTTTACGAGCGATAGAACGTGTAGAGCCGTTAAGGCGCTGCGGCTCGGCTCGCCCTCCCCTCGGCGGTCGCGAGGCCCAGGGCCTACCCAGCCTGTCCCACGTCACACGGGAGCACAGCGGCGTGGCTCCCGGCGCTCCCAGGGCCCACGGAACCCAGGGCCCGCTCGCCGCTACTACCTTTGCCCTGCCTGCCTGGATCGCCCCAGAAGCGTGGGGCGCGGTACCCGCTGGGGCAGCCCTTCCTGGTCTCGGTTCCCCGCGACGCCATCCTCCTCGCTCCCCGCGCCATGCCCCAGAGGCCGGGGCCTCGTGGGCTCCGTTCTCCCGCAAGCTCCAGGGCCGGCCGCACCAGGGTGGCTCTATCCTACCTCCTGGACTCGGGGGGCCGGTACCGGGCCCCACGTCCCCCGCTAGCCCGGTTCAGCCCAGATCCGAGACGCGCGAGCCCTTACCTCATGGCTGCGGCCGAGGCGGCGAAAGGAAAGGACTCGCTCTGCCCTGGCTTCTCCCATTATCTGCGAAGGGGAGAGCCCAAACCTTGCCCCGCTTTCATCCGTATTCCCACCAGGTAGTTTCAAGTTATGACACCCCCAAATCACATAACTCCTTCTTAAAGACCTGAGATAGTGGAAGCCTAATGCCTGGAATGGGTTTTAAACTAAGAAACATAGAAAATATGCCCCTCCCGTAGAGCAAAGTGGTATAGTCCTACTTCCTACGAGACATGCGCAGTAACGCTAACTCGGTCACGTGGGATTGGGTGGCCGGAAGTCACGTTGGGTAGCGCAGGCTGAGGGGGGTGGGTTTTGCTGAAGCGACCTGTTTGCACGCGCCCGGCATTCCGTGCAAGGATGTTTTATTAGCGGGGAACGAAATTAGTGAACGAGGCGAGAGATAATAATGAAAGCCTCTTATTCACTCTTGAAGCAAGCTGGAACCTCTAGGGCACAAAATATGTCGCCAGAAGACCTTAGTTGAATGTTTTTGCTCCACTGCAGGCCCTTGATTTCTTGGTCCCTCCGTATCCTCCTCTGTGAAGTGGAGCTGTTCCTAATGTTTGCGTCATTCAGTTGTGAAAATCAGATGCACTAACACGTGCAATGGCAGGCTTTAAGAGGGCGGGAGCCAGTCTTGCTGGGCTCGACTGCTGCAGTGGACACGCAGCCTGGCAAGCAGTGCTCGCTGGGAATTCTGCATTGGTGAGAGTGAATGCGAAATACGAACGGCGGGACCACCCTTAGTTCTTTCCTCCTGCCTTGGGCAACCCGATGTAGAAAAGCAAGGGGAGCCTTCTGGGATTCCAGAAACCCAAAATCTCGAGTTCTGGCTCCGACTCTTGCTTTACTTTGAGCCACTCCTCCCCTCTCACCTGAACTGCCCTGGCTGCTAAGCAGCAGAGAGCAGCAGAGAGGTCAGAGAGAAGAGCAAGCAACGTTTGTGTCCCTGCCTAACACCCCCACGATGGCTGTCATCCTGGCTCTGCTGCTGAGGTAACAGATTGCCCATGCAGGTCTTCCTGGTGGCAAAGCCCATGCCTTCCCTGTCCTGCCAGGCGCTCTGTCCCCAGGGGCCGGTGGGGACCCTGCTCAGGGTTGGAGCTGTTCAGGGAGCAGTGTGATTGGAATTCATCCTCATTCCCTACTCCCCTTTCCCCGAGGTGATGCGATCAGAGGTGTGGCTGGCCATTCACTTGTTAGCAGCATCCAGACATCCAGGCTGGGGAGGGGTCCTCTTGGTCTCCCACCGTCTCCTCCAGCAGAACACAGCCAGCTGGGTCTGGCATTTTAGGGTTACTTAACCAGGGTTAAGTCTGCGTCCCATTTATGTGCAGCAAGGGAAGGAGTGGAATGCAGAGGAGTGGTATCGTCCCCTACAGCATCTCCAAGCCCAGCCATCTGTTGTTTAATTCTCCCTCATCCTCCCAGTGATCCCAGGTGACAAAGACACCATAGTGCCTGCAACCCCATTTTATATGAGAGGAGAACTGAGGCTCGGGGAAGTGTGGTGATTTGTCCCAAGGGCTCTTTCCAAAACCCACTGTGCGTCCGCCCACTAGCTCAGCGCATGTCTCCTCTGGTGGGCCAGGCTTTGCATGTAAGAATAAAGGAACAGTTCTAGGTCAAAGGTCATGTGATCTGATTTTAGGGTCTCAGCGCCTATTTCCTCCTCCTGTCTCTCTTCCAAGGATCAGGGACCTCAGCCCGCCCTAGGCTGGCCTTTTGGAGGAGCCTGGGGGATCCTGGTAACTAATTGGGGCAGAAGGACTTCTGGTTCTTTGGGATTTCCTGTTGCTGTCTCCGTTGGAATCCCCCCCTAGGACGCCCACCCCATCCCATCGCAGAGCCATGTTGGAAAGGGAGGGACCTGGCCTGCGCCGCACACTGGGGAGAAAGGAGTCAAAGCCGGTCCCAGCATCACCGGGACCGGTACGTTCTGGTGGCCCAGGCAGGAAGGAGTGTGTTGGATCCGAAAGGGGGGCGGTGCCGAGAATTCACTGTTAAAAGCCGCCCCCCCCCCCGAGCCCCATAGCCGGCCTTCCCTCCCCCCCCCCCCCGCAGCTGTCCTCCCTCACCCCGGGCCGGTCAGAGGCCAGCGGCCGGCAGCGTCCAGAGACCGAGGGACGCGCCGCCCTCCCATTGTCTGAGCGCAGCCGGCGGAGGGGCTGCGAGGGGCGGGGCCGGGGCGGGCGGAGGGAGGGAGGGAGCTCGGGAGGGGCGGGTGGGAGCGGAGGGGGCGGGGGAGATGCTGAGCCTTCGGGGCGGAGGAGGCGGCGGCGGCAGTGGAGACAGCGCGAGGAGAGAGGCCAGGCAGGAAGGGGGCAGCCGGAGGCCGGGCTGGGTGGCTGGACCCGGTGCTGGCTGCGCTGCGCCGCCCTCGGCTCCGACGGGCTTCTCCCATGCGCTGAGGGCGCCCGGCGGGGCCGGGCTGGCGGCCGGAGGAGAGGCTCCCCTCCATGGTCCAGAAGACCAGCATGTCCCGGGGTCCTTACCCACCCTCCCAGGAGATCCCCATGGAGGTCTTCGACCCCAGCCCGCAGGTGAGGCGTGGCTGCCGGGCCCGAGGGAAGGGGGCCGCCCGCGCGGACCTCGCTGGGGTTGGCTCGAGGGGCGCCGGCGAGGGACGGGTTCCGTGCCGGGCGCGGAGGGCAGAGAGAAGCCTGAGCGCCCCTCGTCCTCCAGGTTAATGATTGATGGGCGCTTGGCCCGGAGTTGGGCTGCGGTGCTGCGGCGCGGGGAGGGGGCGGTGGGCCGCTTGTCACCGTCGCCTCCTGGTCTCCCCACCCGCGTCAGGGTCGCTGCTGCTCGGATACCGGCTCCAGTGGGCTGAGAGCCGGGGTGCTGTTGGGGAGACCCGAGCCTTGAGGAGGAGATATTGAGGGGAGCTAGAGAGCCAGCCAGGCAAGGGGGCGACGACGAGCACGTTTTAGGGCGCCGGGCGGGGGTGGGTGGGGCGGGGGTGGCACGGGGAGATGGCCGAGGCGGTGGTCAGAGGGCGGTGCCAACAGGCCTTCGAAGCCGCAGACACTGGCCCTCGAGGGTGGGGAAGGTGCCAGCCCCTGGCCAGGCCCCTCTCCCAGCCACCTCGCTTCCATCCCTGTCTTGGGCTAGCTCCCCTCCCCCCACACCCACGTTGCCTTCCCTCCGCCCCCACCCCCCGCAGCAAGCCGCCTCCAAAGTTTGGAAAGTTGGGTGGGTGCCAACTGGCAGTGCTGGAGGGGAAGAGCTGTTTCACCTGGGGGAGGGGGCTGCTGCTCAGGGACCGCGACTGGGCCCCTGGGCTACCCCCAGGAAGGAGCGTTCCTCTTGGGCATGGCGGTGGGTTCCCATAAGGTGCCGGGCGGCGGCGTCTGCGGTGGTCATGCCAGGGCATTTCTCTGGGATGTGTCCTTCTCCAAGGATAGCATTAACTCTTCTGGTGCTGGGGCCAGCGGGGAGCAGCTGCAAGCACCATAATGTGGTTGATGGGTGTGTAGGGGGTCAGGTCAGACCTAAAAATACCTCCTCCAGCCACCCCAGGCCCCTTGGAGCCTGGGAGGCAGCTGACTGGGGCCTTCCTCTCAGCTGTCCCCTGTCTCTCTGAGCGCCACTCCCTTTGCCAGGCCTGGGGGTGGTGGTGGTGTCCGGGATTCGTGGTTGGGGGGTTCTCTTGGGTTTGCTGGGAGCCTCAGAGCTAGAGTTTGGGTATCAGTCTGCTTTGGGGGAAGGGGCAAGGAGTTGGAGCCCGGAATGGCCCCTGGGTGCTCTTCTCTCCAGTTCTCCCTCCTTCTCCCCAGGAGCAAGGGCCCTCAGTCGGGTCCGGCTCGTGAGGCTCTTTGGTTGGGGCCAGGGTTTGGAGGCCTGGACCCTCAGTCATCCTCCCTGTTCTAGACTGCGCTGGAGCCAAGTGTGGGGATGTGAATTGGGCAGGGTGAAAAAGCAGCTCCCTTAGGGAGGCCTGGGAGTCCCCCAAGCCCTGAGTCTGAGCGTGTGGCCATAGGAGTGGTCAGACAGTGTCCACTCCACTCGAGCTTACCTACCCCAGAGACCTGTGGCCTGTGTCTGAGGCCAGGCTCGGGGTGGAGCCAAGTTTAAATTGACGTGGCCTGGTGGGTACCATGGGAATGGGGCGTGGGCAGTGGCAGCTGAAAGGTGGAGGGTGGGGGCTTGCTCCAGCTTGTCCCTTGGGGAGGGGTGTGGCCACTGTGACTGTCAGGAGGGGGCTGAGAAGACTGCAGGGCCCTGGGCTGGGGGGGTGGTTGGATGTTTACTTTCCAAATACAGTTCCACGCCCCCTCCCTGCTTCCCAGAAATGTAGCCCTGGGTCTCCAAGAGCTCAGAGCCGCCATCCCCTCCCCACTGTGTGAAAGCGAAGGGAAGAGTGGGCTCGGGGGAAGCAGAGCTGGGCTGGTGAGTCCTCTCTCCCGGGTCGGGGCAGGCACACAGCTCCCCGGGAGGCAGAGGGGGGCTTTCCCCGCTCTCTCTGCACCCCGGCACTGCAGGCAGCCTCTCCCTTCCCCAGAGGCCTCTACAGCCTACTCAGCATCGTAATTAGCTTCACTGCCTAATGAGCCTTTGGCTTCCCAGTGCCTCCGCCTTCCAGCCTCTCTGGCTTGGTTTGGGGGTTTGTGTGTGTGCCTGCTGGGGCTCTCTGGCCTGGCCACAGTCTGGGCCCTACGCGAAGCTGAGGACCCTCCCTCTCCTTGGGCTGTACCACCTCAGGAAGAAGATGCAGGGGGGTGCTCCCCTCTGGGAGTGATGTTGCCCAGGTCTGGCTGTAGCTCTGGGTCGGATGGGATGAGGCTTGGGAGAGGTCCTTTCTGATTCCACGCGTGTTCCCCCCTGGCTTCCGCAGGGCAAATACAGCAAGAGAAAAGGGCGCTTCAAACGGTCCGACGGGAGCACCTCCTCAGATACAACATCCAACAGCTTTGTGCGCCAGGTACCAGGGAGGCCCCGGGAGAGCCGGGAGGCCGCTGTTGGTGGGGGGCGGCCACGGGGAGCTGGGTCTACTGCTTCCTCCAGGCATCCTTTCCCCTGTCGTTTGTCACCTGCTTGGAACCACCCCATCATCCTGACACCCCATGACCGCTCCTGGATGTACTGTCAGCTGCACCCACTGCCTCAGCTCCCGCCCCCGCCCAGCCCCTCCCCCAGCACCAGGCACCAGCCTCTGCTGCCTGCGTCATCTCATTCAGGGACAGCCTGGCCTGCCTCCTCCTAGCTTGCCTCGGGCTGTCACCCACTCCCCCTGCCGGCTGGCTGCTTCCATGTCCTCCCCCAGGATCTGTGATGGGGTAGGGTGGAGGCATATCCTAGGGGATGAGGAGCGGGGACGTTTGCGTTCCTGGAGGGACCTTGTGCCCAGATGTGACTGTCTAATGCATAGAGAGAAGGTGTAGTGAGGGGACAGGAAGGGTTTGAGATAGAGAGCACTGCAGCCCGGCACCCCCTGACTGCTGGGGGATGGCTGAGCTAGCGTGCTGCCGCTCTCATCTCTGTTTTGAATCTGAACCCCAGGCTCTCTTGGGCTCAGGGAGAGGCAGTGAGGCAGACATGTGGTTGCTATGGCTACTGAGCATCACAATAAAGCCTGGTACCCGAAAAGGCAAGAGGGGCTTGGGATCAGATAAGGGCACGGATGTGTTGGGGAGGAGATGGGCAAGGTCCATAGATGAGGCCAGGAGACTCCGGAAGCGAGGTGAGCCCCTTGGTCCAGGAGGAAGAGGAGGGTGCAGGCGCGTCTACTGCAGATGGGGATGAGGTCCTTCTTGTTGGTTCTTCTGTCTCTGCAACACGTGGCACCCTGAGCCCAGGCCTGACTTCTGAGATTCAGGAAGGGGACCTCGTGCTGCGTCTCCTAAGTATACAAGCAGCCAGGAAATCCTCCCTTCCATCACTCCCTCATCCCGTCCCAGCAGGAATGGGCCAGGGCCAGGAAGACTATCGCTGTGTTTTGTTGCCCCTCTTGGCAGAAAATGGCCTTGGTTCCTTCCGTGTTTGCCAACCCAGGAGGTCGGACCCCCAGTCTCCGGTTCTCCTCTCAGCTCCCGATTCTGACCCCCAGTAGGTGGTGGGGAGTGGGGGGGCAGTCCTTGCCACATCTCTGAGCTAAATATACCCCAGCAGTTTGCACATGTAGCAACTCTGCTTGTAACCTGAGCCCCCTGGGGGGACGGGCAGTTTGGGCCACCCCCTAGGCCAGCAGGGCCAGGCACTGAGGGCGCTGGGATGGAGGCTCCCAGCCGGACCCTGGCGGTGGTGAGCTGGGGATGGGGTGAGGGTGGTACGCCAGCCCCTCAGGAGAGCTGGCGGAGGGGCCTCCCCTGCAGCTGTCTCCTGTGCGCCTGGTGGTTTCCCGTCTCCCGCTGTTTCTGGTGTGTGCGTGTGTACATGCGTGCGCGTGTGTGCCCGCTCTGTGTTGGGGTCTGCCTGTCTGTCTGTGTCTTGCTTCTCTGGCTCAGCGGTGTCTGTTTGCCTGCTCAGAGGGGTGGAGAAGGATCAGAGCGCTGGTTCCCACTCCCCCCAATGCGTCCCTTTACCAGCTTCTCATAGTGACCCCCACTCCTTCCCCTGCATGTCTCCCACTTTCACTATTTGGCAGCGAGAAGGATGGGCGACTGCACCAGCTAATGGCCAGGAGCCTCTGGGGGAGGTGGGGCTCGGTCTTCTTCCTTTCCTAATGGGCATTCCTGGCCAGGTGACCCTCAGGAAAGGATCCCCATGGCCCTGAGGGCCTGTCCTTCCCCCACATTCCCTCCCACCTGTGCCCAGCACCACCCCTGCCTGCACAGTCACCCATGAATCCACACCTCGCGGCTCCTTCCTTAGCATGCCTCTCTCCCTCAGGGACGCAGACCCCTGGGGTGCCCTGTGGCCCGCACTCACACATAGCTGCACATGCTTAGTCACGCACAGCCATACTCTCACACACTTGCCGTCATACACCAAGCATGCATGTGAATCGGGCGTCCGTGCTCTGTTCTAGTAGGTCTGCACAGGCCGTGTGTGTCTCACATGCACTTGTGCATCCGTACCGGAGTTCCCTGTGCTCCAGTCTGGCCAGTGTGGTCAAGGCCAACTTCCTGGCACAGCAGGCTCTTGACCCTGCTTCAACCCTGGCACCTGGCAGCCACGGTGTTGAGAAAAGGCTGCCTTGTATTCTGCTCTTAGCTTGCCTCTTCTGCCTGCACCCCACTGAGACTCTTGGGTTCTTTTGTATCTTCCAAGAGCTGGGGTCTGGGGCTCTGAGTGGGGTGTCCTGGGTACCAACTAGAGAAGCGAGGGAGGTAGGGATTGATCTCTTTCCCCTGTCAAGCAGGAGATGGCAGCGTTTTTGGTGGCCAGTGGTGCAGAGAGCTTGGAGCTCAGCGGGTGGGAGCAGCACCACTGGGCTTCTGCTGAGTGTATCTCAGCCCGTGCTGGGCAGGGGAGGGAAGGAGGCGCGGGGAGTGGAGACTCGTCCCCTGGCACTCCTCCCTTACGCGGTGCCCCTATCAGGTTCCCACCCCTCCCTGGGCCCCAAGCAGCTGTCCTGGGACCTGCCTTAACCCCCTGCTTACTGCTTTCACCCTTCCAAGGGCCGTACTCCTCCCCGGGGCCCTGTCAAGCTCAGCCCCTGGACCCTTCCACCTAACACCATTTTCTCCCAGCCCTGTGGTGTCATCTTGGGCCAGCTGGGGCTTGAGTCATCCGTGATGGGTGACACCTCCATGTCTTCCCAGGCCCAGGACTGGGGGAGGCAGTGCTGGCCCTGAGCTGGCTGTGTCTGCTTTCAGGGCTCTGCCGAGTCCTACACCAGCCGTCCGTCGGACTCTGATGTCTCCCTGGAGGAGGACCGGGAAGCCTTAAGGAAGGAAGCAGAGCGCCAGGCATTAGCCCAGCTTGAGAAAGCCAAGGTGAGAACTGGGGGGAGGGACGTGCTGGCGTTCTCTCTCCCAATCTCAGGCCCGAGCGGGGGCCTGGACAGACCAGAGTCAAGTCTTGGCTCAGCCACTTCCTAGCTGTGTGTCCCTGGACCTCAGTATGCCCCTGCTCACCTGTCAGATGTGGGCTGACATCCCTCCCTGCTTGCCCAGGGTAAGAAGTGCCTAATACAGTCCCCACACATCACAGGAACTTGAAAAGTGCTCAACATTGCCACTTCTTCTTGGAGTCAAACTTACTGGGCTGGAATCCAGGCCCTGACTTCTTTGTAATATTTATTTATTTCAAAACCAGAGAGAAAGAAATAGGTGGAAGGGGGGCAGAAGGAGAGAGAGAGAGAGAGAGAGATCTCCCATCAGCTGGTTCACTTCCCAAATATCAATAATAGCTGGGGCTGGATCAGGCCAAAACCGGGTGCCTAGAACTCAATCCGGGTCTCCCACGTGGGTGGCAAGGACCCAACCACGTGCACCATCCCTGCTGCCACCCAGGATGTGCACCCGTAGGAAGCTGGAGAGGGGAGTGGAGCTGAGACTTGAGCCCCGGCGCTCTGGTACAGGATGCGGCCATCCCGAGCCGTGTCTTCCTCGTTGTGCCCAATGCCCGCCCACCACACCTCGGTTCTTGATACTATGTGATTTTAGGCAATCACTTCACTCTTCTCTTCAGCCTCCTTATTCATTAAGATGAAGGGAGCGGTCATGGAGCCTTTGTGATGAAGCGGTGAGGTGGTGCGTGCGAAACGTGTCAGGGGGTCCCTGGCACGCTGAACAGGAGCCACTGCCCTGATTGTCATCACCCTCATTCCTTCTGGGTGGCCCTCTAGGCTCCCAAGCCACCCACGGTGTCATCCCCCAGGGCCCTCCCCCACACCGAGAGGACAGAATGCCAGTTTTGCTTCCTTTTGTGCTGTAAAAATTCACCTTTGTACGGAAAAACGCACAGCCCACTCAGCGTGCACTTTGCCGAGGCAGACCGCTGCGTGATCCCATTCCCGCGTGGTTTAACCCCTGGTTCCATTCTTCCCCGCATGCCTCCTCCAGACCAAGCCAGTAGCATTTGCCGTGCGGACAAATGTCGGCTACAATCCATCTCCAGGGGATGAGGTGCCTGTGGAGGGAGTGGCCATCACCTTTGAGCCCAAGGACTTCCTGCACATCAAGGAGGTGGGGAGGTCACTGGCATCAGGAGGGCGGATGGGTAGGGGGCAGCTAGAGCTCCAGGGGGAAGGGCCTCTCAGCCAAGCAGAGCAGGGCAGAGTCTGCTGTGTGACTTTTGATAAATAAATCTCTCACCTCTCTGAGCCTCTAAGTTTTCCTTGGTAAATGAGGTGGTAACACCTAGGGGCTGCGCTAAGGGAGAGGCAGTCCATGGCCAGAGAGGATGCTGGTCCCGGAATCATCCTGAGAATGGGCGGCCACACTTGGAAACTGGGGTGGGCACGTCTGGGGTGGCTTCCCTGGGAGGGGGGCTGCTGCCTGCACCTCCAGTTTCTGTTTGCTCTCTCCTGCCCGCCCACTGTGCTGCCTGCAGAAATACAACAATGACTGGTGGATTGGGCGGCTGGTGAAGGAGGGCTGCGAGGTTGGCTTCATCCCCAGCCCCGTCAAACTGGACAGCCTGCGCCTGCTGCAGGAACAGAAGCTGCGTCAGAGCCGCCTCAGCTCCAGGTGCCTGGTGGGCGTGGGCGCGCCTGGCCCCAGCAGGGCCCAGCCTGCCAGGGCTAGGCCCGAAGGGATGGGCTGCCCCCGCCCCTGAGGGCACAGAGCGCCCCTCCCCCCAGCAGTATGTGGGAGGCCGAGCTCCCCCCAACCCCCATGCCCACCCCTTCGCTCACGGGCTCCGTTTGCCTCTGCCCACACAGCAAATCAGGCGACAACTCCAGCTCCAGTCTGGGTGACGTAGTGACTGGCACGCGCCGCCCCACACCCCCTGCCAGTGGTAAGAGCTGCTGCGACCCCAGGGGGTGAGGAGGGGTTCCTGGATGGGTTGGTCTTCCCACCGCCTGACCCCCCTCTCCCTGCAGTAGGAGTCAGCCCTACCCTAGTTCCCCAGACACGTGTAGTGGCACCCCCTCCGTGAAGAGTGGGCTCCCCACAAGCTGGGCCTGTGTGTCTCTGCTCCCCCCTGTCTTTGGTAGCTCCATCTCTGCCTGCCCTCCCTGCACCCCACCCCCCATCCATTTCCCCCAGCCCCACTCCATTCACCTCTTCTTCTTTCTTCTCCCCATCCCCATCCCTGCGTTCTGTGTCTCCACGTCCACCTCCCTCCTCCCCACCTCGCCTCCCTCCCCCCTCTCTCCTGACTCGCCGGTCCAGGTAACGAGATGACTAACTTAGCCTTTGAACTAGAGCCCTTAGACTTAGAGGAGGACGAGGCAGAGCTCGGTGAGCAGAGCGGCTCTGCCAAGACTAGCGTTAGCAGTGTCACCACCCCGCCACCCCACGGCACACGCATCCCCTTCTTTAAGAAGGTAATTCTCGCTGCTGAGTTCTTGCAAGACGGGAGGGGGTCAGGGCCCAGCTCTGGGGGGCAGAGGTGGGTGGAAGGGGTTCCGATGTGGCACAGCCTCGTCCAGGGCCTCCCGCCGAGGCAGAGGGAGGGGTAGACGGGCACGTCCACGTGCACACACAGCCCTCCCTGGGCTACTCCCCAGGAAGGGATGGCTCCTGCCCTTGGCGAACTGCCCCACCCTGGAAAGCAGGGTCTGGTGGTAGTGACACCTGCCCTTGCCCTCACTCCCAGTGGAGCCTCCCTGTGTGTGCCCTACCCTGGCATTCTTTATTCGTCCTGTTCTGACCCCATGAGTGGGCACATAGGGGAGGGTGTCTGTTGGCTGCAGGGCAAGACAACTAAGGCAGCCCTTAAATAAGCAGGTTGGCATACCCTTGGGGCAGGAGGTGGGTACCAATTTAGGGGCTGCCGCCCTCACCAGGTCTTGTCCAAGACCCAGAGGGGTTAGGGTGTGTCTGAATGTTCCCAAGGCCGCCGGACTGGCAGTCCTGCTCCCAGCCCTGGTCCAGCGCCATCTCTGGCTCCCGCGTGGCATGGGGTCCCGTCCCCTCTCTCTGGCTCCGTCTGTCACTAACACGCATGCCCTGTTATCTCTCCTCGTCTGCCCGCTCTCTTGTCCCGGCTCCTTCTTGCCCTCTGCCCCTGCCTGGGTCCCCTCCCCCTCCCCTCTCTTGGCAATCTCTGGACCCAGCCAAACAGAAGCAGAAGTCGGTGAGTATCACAGCTCTCTGTGTCCCCTCCTTGCCCCCAGGATGAGCCGGGGGGGGAACCTTCTAACACCCGTTCCCACATCTGCCATTTCCCTACTCTTCCTGGTTCTCCCTGGCCCCCCCTCCCGCCTGACCCCTACATCTGGGCTTTGGGGCCAGAAGGAGGAAAGGATGCATGGGGGAGCCTGGAGTTGGGGGGAGAGGGGCTAACACCGTCTCCACCCTGGGGTCTCCCCACCCTGCTTTCCCCAGACAGAGCACGTGCCCCCCTATGACGTGGTGCCTTCCATGAGGCCCATCATCCTGGTGGGACCGTCGCTCAAGGGCTATGAGGTAGGAGCCCCTGGAGCGGGGGTGGGCCCGCTGGAGCCCAGACCTCCAGAGAGCCTCCCTGGAAAGGTCTTCAGACCTCAGAGAGACCCCCCCCCACCTCAAGCATCCCCCAGGGGGACTGCAGACCTTATAGGGAGACCCTCAAGGGGCCTATCTCGTGGAGGACCCCCTCAGAGAAGCCCAAGTCCCCAAGCGATACCCAGAAGAGCCCTCCCAGACAGGCCACCTGGAAGGCCTCGGGAGCCAGAGTGTGTCTTGGTGGCCCCTCAGACCCAGGAGGGAACCCACCCCGCCCCTGGAGAGGCCCCTTTCTCTGCGGGGTTTCAGAGGGAAGTGGAATGTGGGGTGCAGACACCCCTCCGCCGCGCTGGCTCCTGAGTGGCTCTGAGTGCCTGACTTCCCCCTGACGCCCCGCCCCCCCAGGTGACAGACATGATGCAGAAAGCTTTGTTTGACTTCCTGAAGCATCGGTTTGATGGCAGGTGAGACCCTGGGGGCTGGCGCCCGGGGAGCCTGGGACTGAGGGAGCCTGGGGAGTGTGCGGGGCGTGCTGGCCGCCCTGAGCCCGACTGCCCCTCGCGCCGCCGCCAGGATCTCCATCACGCGGGTGACAGCCGACATCTCCCTGGCTAAGCGCTCAGTCCTCAACAACCCCAGCAAGCACATCATCATCGAGCGCTCCAACACACGCTCCAGCCTGGGTGAGCCCGCACCGCCTGCCGCGGGAGGCGTGGCCAGGGTGGGCGGGACCAGCTCCCGCAGCGCCCCCGCCGCTCCCTGCCTCCTGGGAGGAGGCGCCCTTACATTCTCCCCTCCCCGTGTCCCCCCCACCGCCCCGCCCAGCTGAGGTGCAGAGTGAGATTGAACGAATCTTCGAGCTGGCCCGGACCCTCCAGCTGGTCGCTCTGGACGCGGACACCATCAACCACCCTGCCCAGCTCTCCAAGACCTCACTGGCGCCCATCATTGTTTACATCAAGATCACCTCCCCCAAGGTGGGTGCGGGGGCTGGACCCTGGTGGGGCTCGCATGGTTTAGAAGGCGTGTGCTGGAGGTGGCTGCCGGGGTGTGCGTCACAGCTCTGCTGCTCACTGAGGGGGTCCCTGAATCCCCCGTGCCTTCATTTTCTCCTCTGTGAAGAGAGCCCGACACCAGCGCATGGCACCTAGCAAAAGCCTGCTTCAGCTTTGTCAGTGTGACTAAGGTCATGCAGGCCGGGACTCTGTCCCCACTCCGGTTGACTTCCCATCCTTGGGCCGGAAACCTGAGAAAATTCGCTTCCTTTTGCCCCTGCGTCACCCAGCTTCTTGGCAGTTGGGAGGTCTTCCTTGTCTTCTGCTGGCTGCCCTTTGCACTGTGAGGGGAGGGGTCCCTCTGCGGACCCTGCCGGAGAGGAAGTCGGCAGGAGGCTGGCAAGCTGCTCCTGGTAGGGCTCCACTCCCGTCTGAATGTTGGTGGGGCCCTGAGAAACTTGGAGGAGGGGTTGAGGCAGAGGTTTTGAAATCAGAAGACAGCACGGGGTTTGAATCATGCTCTGGTTGATTTGTTTATTTATTGTTGATTTGCTGTTTTTATTGAGCTTGGGGGAACTATTAGGCTCTGAGCCTCAATTTCTTCACCTGTAAAATGGGATTATAATCCCTCTTGTGTTAATGTGGAGAGGACTGGAGGTAACAGATATAAAAACCCAGTACACTGTCTGACGAATGACGGCTGCCAACAGTGGTGACTTATCTCATAGTAACATCTTGTGAGCTGAACGCTGTGTGCCTGTTACTTCACTTTTCTTTTCTTTTTTTTTTTTTTAAGATTTATTTATTTATTTGAAAGAGTTACACAGAGAGAGGAAAGGCTGAGAGAGAGAGCAGGGGGGAGGGGAGGTCTTCCATCCACTGGTTCACTCCCCAAATGGCCACCATGGCTGGAGCTGCGTCATCCGAAGCCAGGAGCCAGGAGCTTCCTCTGGGTCTCCCACACGGGTACAGGGGCCCAAGGACCTGGGCCATCCTCTACTGCTTTCCTAGGCCATAGCAGAGAGCTGGATCGGAAGTGGAGCAGCCGAGACTCGAACCGGTGCTCATTTGGGATGCCGGCACTGCAGACGGCAGCTTTACCTGCTAAGCTACAGTGCTGGCCCCCACTTCACTTTTCTGAGGTCTAAGTCCCTCTCTCCCTCCTTTCCTTTCTTCTTTCCTAAAGATGTATTTATTTGATAGACAGAGTGACAGAGAATGGGAGAGACAGAGAAATCGTCTATTCACTGGTCCCCAACTGCCCACAACAGCCAGGGCTGGGCCAGGCCAAAGCCAGGAGCCAGAAACTCCATCCAGGTCTCTCACATGGGTGGCAGGCACCCAAGTGCCTGGGTGCTCATCTGCTGTCTTTGCAGGCACACAGCAGGAAGCTGGGTCTGAAGCGGAGTAGCTGGGCCTCTAGGCAGCGCTCTGACTGGGATGCAGCGTCCCAGCGTCCCAGGCAGTGCTTCACCTGCTGTTGCGCAAGGCCTTGCCCCTAAGTCCTGAGCTTCTCAGGAGATAAGAGGGTGATGAGATCAAAGTGCTGCTGGGCCGTGGAAAGGAGCCAGTGAGATCATGGATGCAGAAACACTGGGCTGGGAAGTAGCAAATGCTTCCATTTCCACACGGAGGTGAAGGGTGGGGACTCTGGCTTCGCATCCCGGGGCTGCAACTTGCCAGTTCTGTGTTCTCTGGCAAATGCCCTGGTTTCCTTGTTTGCCACATAGGCATGCCCAGCTGGTTATAGCGAGGGTTAACTAAATGGGTTAACTATGCAAAATGCCTCATACCTACTTAGCATCATATCTGATTTAAAAAAGAAGATTTTATTTTCAAATAAATTTACAAAAGTGTTAGAAGAATAGTACAAGCCGGTGCCGCGGCTCAATAGGCTAATCCTCCGCCTTGCGGCGCCGGCACACCGGGTTCTAGTCCCGGTCGGGGTGCCGGATTCTGTCCCAGTTACCCCTCTTCCAGGCCAGCTCTCTGCTGTGGCCAGGGAGTGCAGTGGAGGATGGCCCAAGTCCTTGGGCCCTGCACCCCATGGGAGACCAGGATAAGCACCTGGCTCCTGCCATCGGATCAGCGCGGTGCGCCCGCTGCAGCGCACCAGCCGCGGTAGCCATTGGAGGGTGAACCAACGGCAAAAGGAAGACCTTTCTCTCTGTCTCTCTCTCACTGTCCACTCTGCCTGTCAAAAAAAAAAAAAAAAAAAAAGAATAGTACAAAGAACTCCTGTTCTTTAAATGCCTGTCTCTCAGAGTCACTACTTAAAAAAATAAAAATAAAAAAAAGATTTATTTATTTATTTGAAAGAGCTATACAGAGAGAGCAAGTTTCCATCTGCTTGTTCACTCCCCAAGTGGCCACAGCAGCCATGGCTGAGCCAGGCCAAAGCCAGGAACAGGAGCTTCATCTGGGTCTCCCATGTGGATGCAAGGGCCCAAGTACTTAGGCCATCTTCCATTGCCTTTCCCAGGCCATTAGCAGGGGACTGGATCAGAAATAGAGCAGGTGGGACTCGAATCAGTGCCCATATGGGATGCTGGCACCACAGGCTATGCCACAGTGCTGGCCTCTGATTCACCAATATAAAATTTTGTTTTATGTTTATCTTTGTTTTTGAAAGGCATAGGGCTGGTGTTGTGGCGCAGCAGGTAAAGCCACCACCTGCAGTGCCAGCATCCCATATGGGCACCGGTTTGAGTCCCAGCTGCTCCACTTCCGATCCAGCTTTCTGCTGTGGCCTGGGAAAGCAGTAGAAGATGGCCCAAGTCCTTGGGCCCCTGCACCTGCGTGGGAGACCCAGAAGAAGCTCCTGGCTCCTGGCTTTGGATTGGCGCAGCTCCAGCCATTGTGGCCATTTGGGGAGTGAACCAGCGGATGGAAGACCTATCTGTCTTTGCCTCTGTAACTCTGTAACTCTGCCTTTCAAGTAAATAAATATAAAAAAAAAAAAAAAAAGGCAGAGACAGACACAGACACAGGAACCAGGAGAGTGAACCAGGGATGCTGGGAGTCAGGAACTGAATCCAAGTCTCCAACATGGGTTGCAGGAACCCAAATAGCTGACCATCACTGCTGCTTCCCGGAGTCTGCACTGCTAGGAAGCCAGAGCCGGGTACTGAACCCAGGTGCTCTGGTATGGGACATGGGCATCCTGACCAGCATCTTAACCACTAGACTAAATATCAACCTCAGACTCACTGATATTTGAAAACATCTTTATTGAGATAGAACTCACATATTATTTAACTCAGCCATGAAAAACATACAGACTGGAGTGGGTGTTTGGCACAACACCGAGGATGCTGTGTGGGATACCCACATCTTGCAGCAGAGAGCTTAGATTCAAGTCCTGGCTCCACTTCTGATCCGGCTTCCTGCTAATGTGCAATTCAGGAGGCAGCCGATGAGACCCAAGTACTTGGGTCCCTGCCACCTGTGTGGGTCACCTAGATGGAGCTCCTGGCTTCAGGGTGGTCCAGACCAGGTGTTGCAGGCATTTCAGGAGTAAACCAGTGAATGGAATATCTCTGTCAGTGGGTCTATATCTCTCAAATAAAAATGAAAATTAATTTTTAAAAATATACAGTCAAATTTTTTGGATTTACTATTTAATTTTAATATCTCTTTATTTACTTGAAAGGCAGATTTATAGAGAGAGGGTGAGACAGAGAGGAAGAGATCTTGCATCCTTGGTTCACTCTCCAAATGGCTGCAACAGCCAGGGAGGGCCCAGGCCAAAGCCAGGAGCCAGGTGCTTCATTCAGGTCTCCCATGTGGGTGGCAGAGGCTCAAATACTTGGCGCATCATCTGCTGTTTTCCCAGGTGCATTAGCAGGGAGCTGGATTGGAAGTAGAGCAGCCGGGACACAAATGAGCTCACGCGGGATGCTGGCATTGCAGGCAGCAGCTGAACCTGCTGTGCCACAATACCAGCCCCAGAACACAGAATTGTTGAAAATATTTATTTACTTATTTGAGAGACTGAGAAAGAGGGCTCCCATTTGCTGGTTCTTCCCCCAAATACCCACAATGGTCAGGGCAGAGTCAGGCTGAAGCCTGGAACTCAAGCCAATTCTCCCACACCAATGTCAGGGACCCAACTGCTCGAGCCATCATTTGTTACCGCCCAGGTGTGCATTAGCAGGAAACTGGAATCAGGAGCAGAGCTGGAGCTCGGACCCAGGCACACCAATTTGGGATTCCCCAAGTGTCTGAACTGGAGCCTCAGCAGCTGGCCAAGTGCCCAGCCCTGGAAGGGTCATTCCTGCAGAGGTGGCCAGAGCTGAGCGTGCTCAGACGTCGCGGGGCCCTGATGCTGACTCAGCACACACTCTGCATCCCTCCACTGCTCCTCCTCTTCTCCCCTCCAAAACAGGTACTTCAGAGGCTCATCAAGTCCCGGGGGAAGTCTCAGTCCAAACACCTCAACGTCCAGATAGCAGCCTCGGAGAAGCTGGCGCAGTGTCCGCCCGTGAGTGCTGGGCCCCGGGGGAAGAGGACGAGGGAGCACAGTTGGGTTCCTTTGGTTTCCCGTGGCCTGCACAGGGGACAGAGTCACCAGCAACGCCTGGGCCAGGACCCTGAGTGCAGAGTGGTCTTCAGGGAAGAGCTCTGGCCAGGCAATCGTGGGGGGTTTGAGCCCCAGAAGCATCCCTTCTTTGTGGGGAGTCAGGCCTGTGGTGGTCTTACTACAGGAGGGAGTTGGACCAAGCGCCAAGACCTCTATAGAACTCTAGAGCCTTCCCTTTCTGGGCTGCCAGAGGCTTCTTTTTAACCTTGTCCTTCAACCCCTTGACTCCACCCACTGCACCCAGGCCACACCCTCAACCCCTTGGTTACGCCCCTGCTCATCCCAGCCCCGCCCCTAACCCCGCCTCCACAGGAAATGTTTGACATCATCCTGGACGAGAACCAATTGGAGGATGCCTGCGAGCACCTGGCCGAGTACTTGGAAGCCTACTGGAAGGCCACACACCCGCCCAGCAGCACACCGCCCAATCCGCTGCTGAACCGCACCATGGCCACCGCAGCCCTGGCCGCCAGCCCTGCCCCTGTCTCCAACCTCCAGGTACAGGTGCTCACCTCGCTCAGGAGAAACCTCAGCTTCTGGGGCGGGCTGGAGACCTCCCAGCGGGGCGGCGGTGCGGTGCCCCAACAGCAGGAGCACGCCATGTAGCGGGGGACCACCCGTCTTCCCTCCGCCCAGGGCGTGGAACTGGAGTGCAGGGAACATGGGCAAGGAAGGGAAGAGCTTTATTTTGTAAAAAACGTGGTGAGCGGCAGCTTCCGGTGTCTGTGGTCTTTGGTGGGACTGGGGCTGGCTGGTGCTGCCTCCCCGGGCCGGCTTCCCTGGGACTCCATCTGCTGCCTGTGGCCCCTGAGGCCTGCTGGGGGCCCAGAGAAGACCGGGCCGGGAGGAACTCGTGAGCAAGACCAATGGACTCATTCGCTGGACTCCACAGAGCAGGGGCCGTTCACCTCCGAGAGGTGCTCCCCTAACCCCAGCGGCCCTTAGGAGAGACCCCCCTTGTAGAATAGCCTGGGGGTTCAGGTCGCACCCCCACCCTCATGAAGCAGAATCCAGGAAAGGCCCTCCTGTGGGAGCCACAGCCCAGCTCTGAGGCCACACCACTACGTGCATGGTTTCAGGAGAAGCCCAGGAAATCGCTCCACACTGTGGCTCTTCCAATGTGCCTGTCTGCTCCCTGGATCTCAGGTGGAAGTGTTGTATGCATAGAGGGCACCCGGACCCCGCTCAGAGGGAGCTGGGGCTTGGCCTCACCCAGGTCTCCCCGTCTGATCCGTCACACTGCAACGGGGCCACAGACACGGGAGTCATTTGCTCAGGGCCACACAGCCGCAGGTGGCAGGGACACTAGAATGCAGGCCTCCCACTGAACCCCATGTGGTGGCCTCTGTGGTGGCAGTGGCCACCCCTGCCTTTCACCAGCATGTGGTGTTGAGGGCTTTGAGCCAGCTGGTGGTCTCCTGTGGGCGTGGGAGACCCTGGGCCTGCCTGGTTGGTTTGCTGTTCGGAGGCCTTGATGGGGGCAGTGGAGGAGTTGCATCAACCCTGGGGGCTGTCATCAGACCAGGGCGGGGAGGAGGGGAGAAGCCCATGGTTGGGTTCTGATGCAGGCCACAGAAGCCAGGGTCAGTCTGAATTGAAATGCCCTTAATGTATTTGGAAAACTGGAGACAGTGACTAACCCAGGCAACCACTAACGGACTAATGAGCTGGTAACAATGATCTGCCCTGTGGCGGCATTAATGACACCACAGAAGACGACGTGGTGGCGGTGTCCATGGGCGCTCGCCTTGGCTGCCGTCAGAGCGCGTGCGTCTTCAGGGCTCAGGAGGTTGGGCGCCCCCTGTCCTCTCAGAGGAGCGAATGCACGGGGGTCCCTGCAGGGTTGCTATTTGCCCCGGTGCCCCCCCCTAGAGCCAGCGCCCTCCACCCCCAGCCAGACTGGGGTTCTCGGTGCTGGTGCCATCACTAACCTGCCTTGCTTTGTTGTGTTTTTCTCGCCTCTGCCTGACCTGCATGGTGTGTGACGTCTGTCTGCTAACCAGGGACCCTACCTTGCTCCCGGGGACCAGCCGCTGGAACGGGCCGCCGGGGAGCACGCCGGCGTGCACGAGTACCCGGGGGAGCTGGGCCAGCCCCCGGGCCTTTACCCCAGCAGCCACCCGCCGGGCCGGGCAGGCACCCTGCGGGCACTGTCCCGCCAAGACACGTTCGATGCCGACACCCCCGGCAGCCGAAACTCTGCCTACACGGAGCTGGGCGACTCGTGTGTGGACATGGAGACTGACCCCTCGGAGGGGCCGGGGCCTGGAGACCCCGCAGGGGGCGGCACCCCGCCAGCGCGGCAGGGCTCCTGGGAGGAGGAGGAGGAAGACTATGAGGAGGAGCTGACCGACAACCGGAACCGGGCCCGGAATAAGGCCCGCTACTGCGCAGAGGGTGGGGGTCCGGTTCTGGGGCGCAACAAGAACGAGCTGGAGGGCTGGGGGCGAGGCGTCTACATCCGCTGAGAACCAGGAGTCCCGCAGTGGGCAGAAGGGCTCGCAGCCCAGGGAGGGGCCCGCAGGGGCGCCCCCGGGGCTGTGTCCTGCCTGCAGGGGGCGCCGTGGCTCTCCTGGCCGATGCCCTTGCTCGGTGGTGAGGGTTTCTTTAGGGGGGAGGTGTCACTCCAGCCCCCGGCAGGCCCGTAGGCACCCGCTGACGGTGTGCCCACGTCCCCGGTGCGCGGAAGGCGGGGATGCCCACCATTCTCACGTGGTCCCTCCCCCCATCTTGTCTTCGGGCGCTTCCCTTCGCCCAGAGGAAAGGTGCGCTTGCTGACTTTATGCCGGGCTCTGAGGGAGGGGCCTCAGAGGGTGGCCCTGCTTTTCCCCACCTGGGGTACCGGGGAAGAGGTGGCCGAGTTTCCTGGAGAGAGAGGCCGCAGATTCTCTCCCATGGAGGCCCTCCTCCTCAAGCCCCGCAGCCTGGTCCCTCATCACGCCCACCACATGCCCTTGCCCCAGCTTCCTGGCAGCGCTGCCTGGTAGGTGAAAGCCGCGGAGGAGGAGCGTGTCTCCTGGGAGGGTTGGAGGGAAGGTGAGTGGCCGTCAGATAAGGCACCCTCTGCCCTGCGCGGCCTTGGCAGTGCCCCCCACCCCCACCTCCCTGCCCCAGCCTTCGCCCACCCCTGGAATGAGCTTTGCCTTCAACATCTCCCGCCTGCTGCCATCAGAAGAGGGGGCCCCTCTGCATCTGAGCTCCCCACCCCTCTCCCTGTGCCACCTGGGTATGGTGCCCATAGAACATTCTGGTCCCTCTCATTTTAAACCAAAAAAAAAAAATCTGCTCGTTCACCCACATCTTGGGGTCCCAGGGCTGGTGCCCAGGAGGTGACCACCACCTCAGGACCTTCGGCCTCCTCTGAGGGGCTTGGCTGCTGCTGCTCTGACCCTGTTGTCTGCTTATGTCCACCCCCCCAATCCCTGCCCAGGCCTCTGTACCCGCCCCACTGGGGTTCTTGTGCCGCACGCACCTGCCCAGCAGCCCAGCAGCCCGGCTGGGCCAGAGAGAGCCGAATGTGCCAACGAGGACTGGGCCCTGCCCGGCTGCCCACCTCAGGGATAGGCACTCATGCCTGTCTCGCCACCTCCTGTGCCAATGTTGTCCCACTCCCCGCCCCGGGGGTGGGGTGAGCTTTCACTCACCGGTTAGAAGACAAGACACCACTGCCCAACCTTTCCCCCTCCCAGTCTGGTGTCCTGTGCCCCCGTCTGTCTGTCTGTCTGTACTCCAGGAGTATTTTGCCACACATAAAATCGCCGTCCTGTCCTCTGCGGCCACCTCCCAAGCCTGCATCTTTGTTGTCAGCCTAGAAACGCGGAGGCTGCAGCCATGTTGGGGGGTGGGGCAAGGTAGGTTGCAGGTGCAGCCGGGAGTCGCCGACTCAGAGGAGAGCTGGTTCTTTGTTTCTGCAGCTCCTCCAGGCCTTTGGTGCTGCGGGGCAAGCTTCAGCTCCCTGTGTGGCCCCGGACCCTACCTATTTCCCACAAGCAGGGCCACAGACATGGAAGCTACTGTCCTCATGTAGGGTACAAGCCCAAGCTCACTGGGACAATACTTAAAGGCACATGCTTGTTTTTCTGCTCCTGTGGCCTTGCTGGGTACCAACTCAGGAGAAGGAGGGACTGAGTGCCGCCTCCACAGATGCTTCTCACGTCCCCGCTGACCAGCTGGGGGGGGGGCGCAGGTGTGTGCCTCCCAGCACAGCGCTCTTCCCCTGCCTTTGGTTGGAGGGGTGAGAGTCTGCCAGAGCCAGGCTGAGAGAACAAGCAGGCAAGTCAGCAGGTGGCTGAGCCCGTCTCCATCCCCAGCCGGCAGGACGTGGTCTGGCGACAGTTATCCTGCCTCACACAGCACCACAGCCAAGGCTGCAGCCTCCTGGTTCTTGCACATGGGGTGGTGGCCCTGGGGGACCAGAGCTCCGGAGTCCATCGCAGGGATGCTCTGGGCCAGGGGCTGTGCGGAAGACAATAGACACCAAGACCCTCCACATGAGGAGCTACAGAGCGAGGTATCAAGACCAGGAACAGGGCGGGCCTGTCCTGATTGAGTAGCTGACCTAGGCTCCCCCGGGAGTGGTGGCAAAGTTGACAAGAACCTGATGGGTGCCTCCCGCACAGAGCTCTCCCCCTGCCTTTGGTTGGAATCAGTCATGCGTTCCTCTGCGTGTGTGCACGCACGTGTGTGCTTTAAAGATTATTTATTTGAAAGGCAGAGTTAGAGAGGGAGAGGCAGAGAGAGAGGTCTTCCATGTGCTGGTTCACTCCCCAGATGACCATAGCCCAGGAGCTTCCTCCAGGTCTCCTACATGGGTGCAGGTACCTAAGCACTTGAGCTGCCATCTCCTTCCCCAGGCATGTTAGCAGGGAGCTGGACTGTAAGTGGAACAGCCGGGATTTGAACCGGTGCCTATACAGGATGCTGGCACTGCAGGCAGTGGCTTAACCTGCATTGCCATTACACCAACCCCTCATTCCTACGCTTTTTTCTTTGAATGAACATTTATTAAGCACCTTCTCTGTAGCAGGCACAAGTCTGAGCAGGAGCCAAAGGCAATTTTGTTGCAGCACAATGAACTCTGGTGCGGGCCACGCTGGGTGCCATGGCAATCCAGAACCGGGGTGCTGTGGCGGTCCAGAACCGGGGTCCCTCCCTTCACCTGGGGTGTTGAGGAAGGGCTGCCTGCAGGAGGGGAGGCTTGAGCAGAGTCCAGAAGCTTGGCACAAGTTAACCTGGGTGGACAGGTGGACAAAGTGTTCAGGGAGAGGGAACACGTGTGGCCTGGTCTTGACACCTCACAAGTAAAATGTGTTTTCGAGGCAGTGGCCTGGAGGCGCCGGCAGGAGTAGGCCTTGAGTTGTGTTGAGGAGTTTGGGTTTGTTCCCAAGCTGGCGTGCAGAAGCTGATGCAGCGTGAGCAGCTGTGGCAAAGGTGCCTGGGTTGCCATCTGGGGCATCGATTGGAGGCCTTGCCAGGAGACAGATGCAGTACCCCCACGTGAGCACAAGGGTCTGCCTTGGGCCGCAGCAGCAGGATGGGAAGGGAGGTGGTCACAATGGGGAGCTCTTAGGGAGTGAGGAAGGTGGCCAGTGAGAGAGGGGGAGGTGTTTGGGGTCACTGTGGGCGATGGTCGCAGACAGAGAAAGCAGGTGAGGAGTCCAGGTCAGAGGCAAAGCTCATCAGTCCAGCTTTGGCAGTGTGCAGATTGGAGGTGCCTGTGGGATGTCCACAAAAAAGCCAGGGAGAGCTGGGTGCACGGTCTGGGGGCTCTGCAGAGGGGCCTGTGGGTGAGTTTGGTACTTTGAGCCACAAGCAGGGATTATTATTAACTAAGTTTACATAGGGAGCTCAGAGACGTGATGTTACCTGATCACACTTACACAGCCCTCAAGCGGAGCTGATGCCCAGATATTTGGATTTCAAGCTCTGTGGTGCCAAGTCCAGTGCTAATCCCTCTGCCCCAGGGCGCCCCAGCTTCTGCAGGGGAGGGAGGTGGGAAGAAGCTGGCTCCTGAATAGGTTCAGTCTCCCCTTCCTGGGCCTCCTGCCTGAAGTTCCGTCTGTCCAGAATTGTGCAGCGCGGGCACGTCTGGCTGGCGTGGAGATGCTGAGAGCTGGGAGTGACTCTTGGTTCTCAGGAACCACAAACCTTCCGCTCACTCCAGCTCCGCGCAGTCAGCGAATTGGTGGTTGTTCACGTGAGGATTTCAACTAAAGCTCCACCATTCTAGAATGAAATGAGCAGAGCTGAGGTCACCAAGGCCCAGCACAAGGGTGTCCCAGGCCACCACCTTGAAGAAACCTTGCTTGGCTCCAATAGTCACTTCTTTGGAGAAGGGTGCCCACCTCCCTTCTAAAGCAGCCCTTCTGGGTTGGCGTTTGGCACAGTGGTCGTCGCCACTTGGGATGCCCCTCTCAGAATGCCTGCTTCAAGTCCCAGCTCCTCCACCTCTGATCCGCGTCCTGCAAAACACACCCTGTGAGGCAGCAGGTGGTGGCTCAACTGCTTGGGTCTCTGTCACTCACGTGGGACACCAGATGAAGTTCTGTGCTCCTGGCTTCAGCCTGATCCAGTCCTGGCTGTTGCAGGCATTTGGGGAATGAATCAGCAGATGGAAGGTCTCTCTTGTGTCTGTGTGTCTCTCTACCTTAGAGAAAGGGGCCAGGGGAGAGAGAGGGAATCAGGCCTTCTCGCCGACTCTCTCCCTGGGTGGGTGTGTTTGCACATGTGTGTTGGCCTCACTCTAGACCAGAAGCTTCCCGACGACCTGGATGGATCTATTTTGTCTGCCTGGTGTGTTTTCTGGCTCACATTTGTCAAGTGAAGAAATAAATGCCCACCCCCAAGATCCAGGCTTGGGACCACACAGGGCAGTTGCCGCCTCTTGTCTTGTGTTCCCAGCTTGCAGAGTGTCACATTTAGGGGGAAGGGTGCGCTAAGAGATCGCACCCACCCCACCCCAGAAATAGATGATGAAAATGCCTAAGACGTGGCTGCTCTCCCCAGCACTGTTCTGTGCCCCAGCCCCTTCCTTCCCAGGGCTAACATAGCATCAGCTAGATGGGCTCTGGCTGTCAATTTCCCATCCTAGCTCTGGACACCACACTGTGGGGAAAGAAATTCTGGACGTAGTGACTTCTCTCTCTTCTTCCCCCAAACTTCCCAGCCTTCTCCAGCCTCTTAACTGTGTGCTCACCTTCCTCTTCTACTATTCTCAGGCTGTAGTCGAACTCTTTCTGTGTCAGTTCACTTGGGACACATTTCCTGCCGTGGCCAGGCACTGGGCCAGGCTGAGGAGGGCTTACCTGGTGAGCCAGATCTGCAGCCCACCCTCCAGTTCTCGTGGGCGACTGGAGAGAACTAGTCCACAATCCCAGTGCGGAAAGAAGCCCCAGCTCCCTGGGGAACCTGGCCAGGGCTTGGAGGTGGGACTTCCGTAGCAAAGCAGCGGAAGGGGCTCTGCATTCTCCTTGCTGAGCAGGGAAAGACGCTCACAAGGAGCAAGTGCAGAAGCAAAGGCACACTCAGAAAGCGCCGGGCAGAGGGCAGGCATTTGGCACGCTTGTCATGACATCGCTTGGTGTTGGAGTGCCTGGGCCCGAGTCCCAGCTCTGCTTCCAGTTCCAGCTTCCTGCTGATGCACACCCTGGGAGGCAGCAGGTGATGGACCAAGGGCCTGGGTCCCTGCCATCCATGTGGGGGACCTCATTGGGTTCTGGGCTCCTGGCTTTGGCCTAAACCAGCTGTTGCAGGGATTTGGTGAATGAATCAGTGGATGGAAAATAAATAAATACATTTTAAAAATTATGGGAAAGAAAATAGAAAGATCTGGGCACATGTGGGCAAGGACCGTTGGCTGTAGAACCTGGGAGCTGAACCTGCCACAGCAGGTGCAGGCTGATCCTTGAGGCTCCTGAATGATCTCAATCCCCAGGCAGCAGGGAACCATTGAGGACGCATGAGCTGGGGAGGGGCAGCCGCTGTGCTGTGCTTTAAGAAGGTGAACAGAGCCATGAGGAGGATGCTCTGGGTAAGGGAGAGGTAGAGGCAGGGAGACCAGCTAAGGGCCTTGCCTCAGTGGAGGGAGCCCAACAGGAGGGCTGTGGCCCTGGCTGGACTGAGCCCATCCAGGGGGATAAGCAGAGTCCCCTCTGACCGTCCCTGCAGCCTGGGGTTGATTTGCCTTTCCCACTTTTTTTTTTTTTTTTTTTTTAATGCAAAGTCGGAAACTCACACACAACAAGGGCTCTGGGCTCCTCTCCTCCTGCCTGGCCTCCTGGTTTGCTCCATACCCCTGTCCTTCTGCTGGGTTCCCGTATCTGGACCCTCACCCCCCCAACCCCCATCTCCGGCCCAGGGATCTCTCTTCGGGCCCAAACTGTGTTTTCAGACACCACCGTTGGGGACCAGGGAACTGCCGCCAAGCGCTTGGCTCGTCGGTGAATTGTACAGCAGCACTGGTTTACCCTCAGGATTTGCCTAGCACCAAGGCACCTGCTAAGTAAGGGAGCGCTTGCTGCTCCCCGCGGCCCCACCCACACCAGTGAACCGGTCGCAGGCGTGCTGAGGGCTGGAGTATTCTCCCAGCTGAGAGAGGATCCGTGAGCCCTGTCTGTCCCACACAGCTGCTCCTGCAGAAGGGGAGTCCCTTGGGGCTCCGCTTCCGTCTAGTGCCCCCCATCCACATGGCGCTCAGGGGAGGGAGAGCTCAGATCCGACTGGGGCACTGTGCTGAATCGTCTTCGATTTGGAACACGGAGCAGCCCATGCGGGGAACTCTTTGTGAGAGGGTGAGGAGTCTGAGACTCCGGTTTTCTAGCACCTCCAGGGCTCTGCACAGACAGCTTGCAGCTGCTGAATGTCCCCCAGCGTCCGGGAGAGGCCAATGGTCCAGGCGACTCCCAGTTTCTGCTGACTGGGGGAGCGCTTCCCGGACTTAACATGGATGAAGCCGGCTGGGCCCTTCCTGGGGTGCAGGGCTTGGAGAACCGGAGCCCGCGGAGTTCTGCGCCTCCGCAGCGCAGAACGTGCCATGGGACAGTCGGTCGCCAAGCTGATGGTTGGCTGCAGGAGCCAGGGCGCCCAAGCCATCACTTTGATCCGGTTCTCTCCTGGGGTCCTCTCCATCTAGGACGCCGGCGACCTCGGACTCCAAGGGTTCTGCGAGGGCGTTCCTCGCCGCGCCGCCTCCTCCCCCGGCCCCCGCACTTTTGTGCGCTCCCGGGCGTAGGGTGTGCGCGGCGTGGTGGCGGCCGTGGCAGGTTTCCTTAGACCCTAACTTCGAGTTGCTTTTTTCCCCCAGACCTTTTCCCTCGGCCTTTCAGACAAGCACTTTTCTAGAAATGTGAAGGGAGGTGGGGCTCAACTCTTTCCCACGATGCGAGAGCCGCGCGGGTCTTGGCGACCGGGGAGGGGGGGAGCAGTAGCCGCACTGAGGGGCCACAGTCACCCTCCTAGAGGACCCCCGGGAGCCCGCAGTCCCTCCGTGGCCATCGGGTTTGGCCCTGACCCTACTTTCCCCGGCTGCCCCCACAGCACCTGGCTGTGGTCGAGGAAGTAGACAAAGCCGGCAACGCAACCCTTCACGGGGTTTGAGGCAGAGCTGGGTCTCCTACCAGACTGACAGGCGACTGGACCAATCACCGCAGCTCTTCCCTGCGCTCCCGGGTCACCCGCAGGCGTGGAGGGGGTCGGCGGCTTGATCTCGCGGGTCGAGTGGCATCCGGCTTGACGCTCGTGTCCTGCGCCGCGCGCGGAAAGCCCCAGTTCCCAGGGCCGCCCGCCGTCTCCTCCCGGCCGCTCCACAGCCGGCTGCAAGCTTGGCAGCCATCGGAACCCGTCTGCCCTCTCCTGTCTCCCTGTCTCGCTGGCCCCGGCAGCAGGTCCCTCCTTCCGCACCCCGTTGCCGGAGCCCTTGCACCTTCTGAGCCCTGAGCCCAGGGTGTGGGGGTCTCTGCAGCTGCGGGGCCCGCAGGAGGCAGGCCGTCGGCGCTTTCTCCACTCTTCCCGCTCTGGAGCCCCCACAGGACTTTATTTATTTAGAATAAGTTTTTCCCTGAAAAGATAATATATAAAAATGGTTTTTAAAGATTAGAAAAGGCGCCGGCACACCGGGTTCTAGTCCCGTTCGGGGCACCGGATTCTGTCCCAGTTGCCCCTCTTCCAGGCCAGCTCTCTGCTGTGGCCAGGGAGTGCAGTGGAGGATGGCCCAGGTGCTTGGGCCCTGCACCCCATGGGAGACCAGGAAAAGCACCTGGCTCCTGCCATCGGATCAGCGCGGTGCGCCGGCCGCAGCGTGCGGGCCGCGGCGGCCATTGGAGGGTGAACCAACGGCAAAGGAAGACCTTTCTCTCTGTCTCTCTCTCTCACTGTCCACTCTCCACTCTGCCTGTCAAAAAAAAAAAAAAAAAAAAAGATTAGAAAAGAAGGGGGCCGGCGCTGTGGCATAGCCGGTTAATGCCCGCCGGTTCTAGTCCCCGCTGCTCCTCTTCTGATTCAGCTCTCTGTGATGGCCTGGAATGCAGTAGAAGATGGCCCAAGTCCTAGGGCCCCCATGTTGCTGTGGATTCGTTCTGAGAGGAGGAGCGTGGTGGGGGCAGGAGGCGCGGAGTCACCACACAGACCTCAGGAGCTTGGTGAAAGCAGGCCAGAGGCAAGCAACCTGCAGTTGGTACAGCAGCTTAAATAGCCAAGGCAGCCAATCCAGTCAAGGGGCGGTCTATGCCCTAACCAATCACAGCCTGTTGCCAGGCAGTTTTCGTTGCTAGTAGCCATCTTGGCATGGCCTTATTCCACCACATTTCCTCCTTTTCGTTTATTTTTGAGTAACAGGAGGCATGGTTCTTGGCCACACCATTGTTGACCCCGTTTCCATGTGGTCTCCGTATGTGGCTGTGCCTGTCTTAGGTCTTAGGTTGTCCCCCAGGGGATCTTACCCATCGTTGACTAACCTGCCCTCAAAACGGAGACCACAGGAGTGCTTGCTCAGATGGGAATGAGGAACAATGGGAATCAGGAATGGCATGACCGCACGCAGGCTGTGGGCCATTCGAGTGGCTGACTGGAGCTAGTGGGGTATAAAGCAGTAGTGGATGTGGCTATGGGCAGTTCCTCAGGGTAGGATGATAGGGCAGGTGCATTCGCTAACAAGGCGGGCTCTCAGTCTTGGTCAGCTGGTTCTGGTTGACTGTCAGTTGCAGGCTTGATGTTTCTGGCTGGTACCCAAATGGGCTGTGCTGCATTCTCTGGAAAGACACAAGCATATCCTCGGCCCTTGGTTAGCAGAAGCCTTTATATAGGCGTTGGAATCCAGGGCCTGAACTCTGCATCTGCTCCGACATTAATGGCAAACATACGGGTGGAATGGGGTCTAGTAGCTGCCCTGAGAGCCTGGGGTGCCTGGGGACTGCCACAAATGTGGGGATCCTCACTGGGTGCGGATGGGATGACTTCGCATGGGTTATTGCCTCCAGGTCATCTAAGTTCATGCCACGGGTATTTGGGGGCTGGCTGACTAGGCATTGCTGCGTTGTCTGCTGTCATGTCATTTTCGCTGTCAGAGCTCTCTCTCCCTAAGTCATCAACTGTTGTCTGTGAGGAATAGGCCTGGAGTGACAGGCCCTTATCACTCACAGATTCACTGTGTTTGAGAGGGGGTATCTTTCCCATGTTTGAGTGTCTAAGAGCGGCACGCCACGCCAACTCTAGCCAAAGGAAAGACACACACAGCACTGCTGCCATAACAAAGCAAATTCCTAGCACCTCAGTGGCTGATGGCATTCTGCAGGGGTTCTCTACCTTAGACGAACAGACAGTGGTGTATCAGATCATAAGTATGTCCTGTGCTTAGTAGGGGACTTCCAGGGGTCTCAAGGCCGTATGCCCACACAGTGTCTCTGGGGCATCACCTCTCTCGCGTGAGGGAAGATGACTTGGTTCCGAATTCTGGGATGATCGGTCCCTTATGTAAATTCGCCAGGCAAACGGAAAGTAAAAGGAAGAGCCAAGAAGCGGCATTATGCTTCTGGGCGGTGTGTGCCTAACCTGGGGTCACTTTGACTGAGGACAAGGACAAAGACAAGGACAAGGAAGGGGGCGTAGGAGGGAGTTCTGTGCTCACCCTCACAGAACCGAACAGCACACAAAACACCAAGGGGCCTACTTGCTGAAATCAAGGGGGGACCTCACCGAGTCCGACACGCTGTCTCTCAGTCATGTTGGCACGCCAGATGTTGAGGTTGATTTGTTCTGACAGGAGGAGCATGGTGGGGGCAAGAGGTGCGGAGTCACCACACAGACCCTGGGAGTCAGATGGAAGTGGGCCAGAGGCAAGCAGCCCACAGACTCATTTACTTCTGTTGGTACAGCAGCTTAAATAGCCAAGGCAGCCAATCCAGTCAAGGGGCAGTCTATGCCCTAACCAATCACAGCCTGTTGCCAGGCAGTTTTCGTTGCTAGTGGCCATCTTGGCATGGCCGTCTCATTCCACCACACCCCCACACCTCTGTGGGAGACTCGGAAGAAGCTACTGGCTCTTGGCTTCGGGTTGGCCCAGCTCTGCGGTTGGGGCCTCCTGGGGAGTGAACCAGTGGATGGAAGACTTCTCTCTCTGCTTCTCTTTCTGTAATTGTGCCTCTCAAATAAATAAAATCTTCTTTAAAAAAAGTTTTCAGCAGAGAGAAGACAGAGACAGATGCCAAGATTGTGGAACCCCATACGGTCTCCCACTGGGATGGCAAGGCCCTCTGGGGTGGGCATTAACAGGAGTAGGGGCAGGGACTCCAGCCCAGACCCTCTGATGTGGGCTGCAGATGTCCCACATCTCACACGTGCACCTGTAATCACTTAATTCTACTTTCCCACTAATCTGTTTGAGGTGCCCTGGTGCAGTTGGTCAAGTTCCACTTTCACCCACCGATCTCCCTTGCTCCCGCCTCAGAGGCCATCACCTCTGGCCACCTTTCGGGGGCTTTCCTTCCATCCACAAACAAGCCGTGTGTGCCTTTCCTGTGCCACTTGAGACAAAGCACCTCCCTGTGCCGGCCTGCGGCACAATGAACTGGGTCTTCCTGAAACAGAGAGTGGGAATGCGGGGACAAGGATGCAAAGAATGGAGCCAAGACAAGTCCTGATCAAGGCTCGTTTATTGAATAAATGCAGTAGTATTTAAACATGACCAGTTGTTTACAAGGAGGAGCACAAAAGATTTACATATCAAAACGGCTCTTAAGGTTACAATAAAAACACTTAGGTGATAAATGAAGGTTACAGGTGTGACTGATTATTTGTATCATCTCCTGTGAAAGGTTTAGGTTCCTCCTGCCTCTTCCCGGAATCTCCCCTAGCCTAATTGTCTGTGCCGGGAAGTCTCCATTCATATGTTTAAGTGTAAACAAAGGGAGTGACTACCTGTGGCTGCCCACACCTCCCCGATGGCCCTGGCTGTGCATCTCCCTTCTCTCACCCTCAGGACTCCAAGTGTGGCCTACAGCATGGCAGCCAGGGCACCAGGCAGGAGCTTGTGGGAAATGTGGACCCTTGGGTCCCAGCGCAGACCGCTGCCCCAGATCTGCACTTTGACAGGGCTCCCAGCCCACCCGACTGCATGTACCTGGGGAGACGACTCTAATACGCCTCCCCTTCCCTTCCCTCCCTCCCTCCCTTCCCTGTGGTGCAAGCTCACCCCTTCCCTCCCACTACAGGTTTTCGGTCAACCCGTGCAGTGTGGTTCTAAGTGCAATTCAGCCGGACTTGGGGGTGGGGCGACCAGAGTCAGGAGGGGGCTGGGCTGAGCTCTCTGCACCTTCTGCCACCTCCACAGCCTGACCCATGAGCGTCCCACCATTGGTAGCAATGCAGAGGACTTGATTCTGTGGGAGACTCACTTCCTCATGTGGGAAACAGGCACTCAGGGGGTGCTGAGCTGCACCTGGGACAGGTGAGGAGGGCGCCAGGGCTGCGGGGGTTGCAAGGGCCGCTGTGTGGTGTGAGCCGGTCACTGCACCTCTCTGAGCCTGGGTTCCTCCACTTGTGAAATTGGGAGGTGGGGCATAAGAATGACCTCCTTTGGGGCCAGCGCCCCATATGGGCACCAGTTCGAGTCCCTGCTGCTCCATTTCCAGTCCAGCTCCCTGCTATGGCCTGGGAAAGCAGCAGAAGATGGCTCAAGTCCTTGGGCCCCTGCACTCACGTAGGAGACCCAGATGAAGCTCCTGGCTCCTGGCTTCAGCCTGGCTCAGCCCTGGCCACCGCGGCCACATGGAGAGTGAACCAGAGGATGGAAGCTCGTTTTCTATCTCTCTGTAATTCTGCCTTTCACATAAATAAATCTTTTAAAAAATTAATCACCTCCCTGAGCTGTTGTGAACATGACGCCATAAAACCATAGCCAGTGCTGGGCACAGGGCCCTGCTGATGGCAATTCTAGAAGACTTCCTGGTGGCGCTGCCTCCTGCTGGCCGCTTTCTGTAGGATGCGCGGGTGCGGAAGGCCGTCTGGCTCCAGGGCCCGCCTGTCTCAGAGGCGGCTGAGTGAGGGGTGAGATGGAGCTGGGCCGGGATTCCAGCACAGCCTTTCCCCAGCCTTGGCCGAGCCGCAGTCTCCTCGTACCACGAGGCCAGCATCCGGGCTGCTGCTCCGGGCTCTCCCTGAGCCTGCAGGCAGCCATGACTGCGCAGGGCTTGGCACAGCCCCCGGTGCACTTCTTTCTGCGCAGAAAAGCAGGAGGCCCCAGACCGGGTGGTCCTTGGCGCTGTGCGTCACGGTTCCCGTTCCGGGTCCCTTGTAGATGCGCACTCTGAGTGCAGCTTCCGGGCTTCGGGCCACCCTGGTGCAGCCCCCTCACCCCCAGGGTCCTTCCCGGGGAATCCCACTCCTTGCAGGTATACAATCCCGATAGGGCCTGCTGCTTTTGTCTTCTCGTAATGATTTTTTCTTTTATAGAATTGCATTTGGACTTTTACAAAAGTGTAATAAATGCCAATGAAAACCATTCAGCTCTCGTCTTGGTCTGTTTCTGAGACTAGCTTTTGGGTTTTGTGTAAAGTTCTTGGAAAAACCCATCTTGGAAATGGAGCTTCCTCCAGGCTCCATCCGGCTAGGGGATGCAAGTCCTCTGCCACCCTGGAGGGCACTGGTTGGCGCCAGCTGCGGCCAGGAGCTGCTGATTTGATACGAACCCGTGGAGAAGGGGAGGGGTCCAGGGCATGGAAATCAGTCTGATCTGCTTAGAGCCGGAGGCCGGGCCGCTCACCTGCGCAAGGGAAGCAGTACTATTCGCCGTCAGGATCCGGAATGGCCCGGGCACGAGAGGTCTCGCCCCTTCCCACGCCAGGCGTGAACGTACGGGGGAGTCTGGGCATAAGATACGGAAGGGTTCCTTAGCCGTGCGGTTCTCCTGAGCTGTGGTGATGGCGGAGCAGCTCGGCCCGCGGTCGTCCCCACCGCGTGCTCTTTCTCTTCGCTGATCCAGATGGAACCTTCTGACCAGAAACGCTCGGGGAAGAAGCCGCCCCCGCCCTTCCACCATGGAAAGGAATTGTAATGAGGCTCGGGAACCGCCATGGGGGTATAGCTCAGTGGTAGAGCATTTGACTGCAGATCAAGAGGTCCCCGGTTCAAATCCGGGTGCCCCCTCTCTGACTCGGGTCTTCTGTTTTACTGCCCTGGTGCTCTCCTGAGCACTGCCGGAGCTGGAGCCCCTTCCCCAGCGTTTTGCAGGCGGGTTCACTCGAGTGTGTCCAAGAGTGAGCAGAGCGGAGCAAGTCCCCCGGAAGGCTGGATCCAAGCGGTTTCCCTCCTGCAACCCGCATGACGTTCTTCCTACCCTACCCGTCTGTTGCTCACGGCTGCAGAAATGCAGAAATAACCGCCTCCAAGTCGGAAACGTGGGGTTTGTAAGCTTCCATTCCTGGGGCGCCCAAGCCTCATCTTTTCCGAGCTCGGCTCCGCGCCTGCGTGAGACACACTAAGAGGCCACCTGCGCAAGCTCACCAGCAGAGGGGGTATAGCTCAGTGGTAGAGCATTTGACTGCAGATCAAGAGGTCCCCGGTTCAAATCCGGGTGCCCCCTGCTGAGTGTTTTGAAACACGCGTTTTTCTTTTTTAAACCTGTGGTTCCCCCCTTCTCATCCCGAACAGTTTTCTTAGAGTGGTCTCTTTTTCTTCCTCTACGCTTTAACATGTCTTTCGTCGCCTGCCTGGGCAGAAGAGATGCGATGTGGCCGTGCAGAAAAATGTGGCCCTGGTCCGCAGAGTGGCCTGGGCACGCGGTACAGATGCAAATTCCCCGCTCCGGCCTAGCGCCCTAGAAACGCGGGGCGGGGGGCTCGGAACTCTTTAAACAAGCCCCTCCAGGCGATTCTCGGGGCGCTCACGTTCCAGAGGCTGGCCTTTTTTAACAAACGCACCCGCACGTCATTTACTTCTAGCGTTTCCAAGTAGCTGCTGCTCCAGCCTGAGCCCTGATTAAGAGACCCTGTGAGACAACCCGCGCGGCACTGGCGTGGAGTTCCAGCCTGCGACCTCTTTTACCTTGACCTTCGGGAAGGAGGACGCCAAGACTTGGTAGGGGAGACAGCACAGCGGGTGCGGGCCGGGACAAGCGAGGGAAACGGCCGAACGCGGGCGCTGCAGCTTCGCCACGCGGCCGCTGGAGGGCAGCAGGAGGCCGCCGCCGCCGTCAGCAGCCCGTTCCCGGCTCCGCCGGGCTGGGGCAGAAGCCGGACTTGGGGAACTTCGCGGGCAGGCCTCGCCTGGTCCTGCGGGCGGGGCGAGGGTGGAGGCTTGAGCGCTGGAGGAGGCGGGCCCTGGGGCTCCGCGAGGTCGGGGCGCCCCCCGTTCTTAGTCCCCTTTTTGACCGCTGCGCCCGGGAACCGGCCTCTTCCAGCCCCCGCGGCGCCCACCCCGTGCCCACCCCGGTGCCTCCTTCTGGTTGCTCTCCCGGGGCGACTTTCCTAACCCGAGACCCCAGTCCCGCGGAAGCCAGGGCGCCCGGCGCCCCTCTGCCAGCGCCCAGCGCCCTGCGCCCCAGCTCCTCACCTTCGCCGAAGTAGGCCAGGGCGGGGAAGAGGCGCCTTCGCGTCCTGACCTGATTCCCTGCTGTCTATTAAATCGCTTACATTTTGGGTATTTTTATTCTGTCCTGGAAGTTTCGGAAAAAGAGATGCTGTCTCCCCAGAGCTTGTTATAGGCGGTGGCAGGTGGGGCGAGGACGTCCTCGCTCCGGGGTGGCCTGGGGTCCCCAGGGGGGAGGGTGCTTCGACTACTTTGCGGGGGCTCCGGGTCACTTCAGAGTCGGGGAGACCCGGGCCCCTGCCTAGGCGAGCGCCGCAGAGATAGAGGAAGGCGAGTTAGACGGACACGCAGGGGCACGAAGTGGGGGGCAGCCGCGGGAGGGGGCGGGCCTCTGCTGGGAAGAGGCGCTGGGGTCCTGGGGTGCAAGGGGAGATTCCTGCTGCGCAGGGGGAGCGAAACGGCAGAACTGCGAGGGACGGCCCAGAAAGTCGCGTGGCGTGGACGAGCGGGGACGGCGGGAGCCCACGGCCCAGGCAAGGGGCGCCGGTGCCTTCCCGCGGCCGGGGTCCCCGGCTCCCCCCCCACCACCTCCGGAAGGTGCGGGGGGAAGGGAATGAGGCCAGGGCTAAGTGCGGGGCAGGGGCGGCTGATGCTGTTGAGGGGGTCTTCAGCCCACGCCTGTCCTGTCTCCTACTCCGGCCTCGTCACTGTGAGGTGGGGCTCCGTCTGCTGTGATGTGTGTGAGGGC